ATGATATGTTTCTATATTTTTTTCTTAAATGTCATATATAGCTGAGACTTGTATTCATTTTTACCCAGTGGTTTTTAAGTGGAGATGACTCGCCCCCACCCCACTCAGAAGACACTTTTGATTGCCACAGCTGAGGCATCTGGTAGCCAGAGATACTGCTAAACTTAGAATACACAAGACAGCCCCGCCCCACACACACAATAAAAAGAAATACCTAGCCCCAAATGTCAGTAGTGCCAAGGTTGAGCAACCCAGTTTCTAAACCCAAATAATATATTTTAAAAGTGCTCCCCCACACAGATTCTATGGCTAGGCTTTGGGGGGTTAGCATAGAGTCTTTTCTCACAGGTTAGATTTTAAAGTCTGCATATAAGAATAATGTACAGTATTCATAGTATACACAATATCTGTGTATATAGTATCATGGATATGGTGGGAGGCAGATCAGAACTGAAATAAACAAGAAAATTTTTAATAACACTGAACACTTATCATTTACTATATGGGCAGCACTGTGGTAAGCAGTATTTTTTTTTTTTAACTATTAGATCACTTAATTTTTGCAAACCTTTGGAGCTAAGACACTTTTCATGATTTGGATGAGATAATAAGTCTCTTAGGTCATAGAATTAGGAGCTTATAGAACTGAGAATCACATTTGGGCAGTCTGGCTGACCTGTAGTTTTAACTGTTATACTATCTTCAATGGAGTATGGCCACGTACCAGGTGGTTAAAATGCAATATTTCATTGTTTCTTAGACTACTTTTTCAAATTTTAACATCTCTGAAATCAGAATGTATTTTAAAGTCAATGACATATCATAATTCAAATTGGCAGTATTTTTTTTAGTGGCACCTAAAATAGTACATATTTTAGTCAATGGTGTCATAGATTCAAAATTTCATATGTAGGCCTTCTTTATAACCTATTTGAAGCTATAGACACTTGTTCTTCAAAGCAATATTTGCTCATATGTACATAAACCAGCTACATTAGAAACTTTTGTTGTTAAACTCTATGACCTAATTTTGCCAATGTTTTATTAATGTCCTTTTAAGATTTCCTTGCCCTATTTTCAGAATGTATAAATTTATGATTACACTGAAGTTATGTCTAGTATCTGTAAGCAATAAATTTGATATTTATTCAAATAAATATATTCTTTTTCTTTACTAGGAAGAAAATACTCGGAAAAGAATCCTGTGTCCTTTAGATCCGAAACAGTAAGTATGGGGTCAGATAAGGGTTTTTCTGTGCTGGAAACAGTAATTGTCTTATTTTAAACAATTTTCTCTTTAAATTTAGCACAGTATATGAAGATCAACTAGCAAAGCATTTGAAAAAATGTAACTCAAGAGAGAAACCAAAACCTGTGAGTATTTGATCAGTAAATGAATGGTGAAACATTGTATGTAATGTTTATATATACTTAGTAGATTACAAACGTGAATATTTAATAAAACTTGTCTCAGAAGGCTTGAATATGATAACTACATTTGAGTATGTAAAAGCTAGCACTATGTCAGACTGTGAATCCACTTATAGATGATCGAGTTTTATGCAACAAGAGTGTTGTTCAGAGAATAATTTCACTATTTATTCAAAAATATTTACTTAGTACCTACTAAATTTATTTCAATAAAATATGATCCCAACCTTCAAAGAACTTATTTGAAAATGGTAAGTAAGCTTGTAAATAAATGGCTATTATTTAATAATTTCAATGGAAGAAGTACACGTGTGATAAGAGCATATACTTGTATAAAAATTAAAATTAAATCCAAGGAGTCTAGAAAAGCTTCCCAGAGAGAATAACACTTGAGCTGAGTCTTGATTTGGTAAAGAAAAGGAAGAAGAGTCCTTCTAGGTAGAAAGAACTGTCTGTGCAAAGGTAGAAACTGAGAAACCACATGATGCTTTTAAGGAATTTGAACTTTATTCTGAAAGATACAGGGAACCACTGAAATATTTTAAGCTAGGGAATGGTGTGGTCAGATTTACCTCTTAAAAAGCTTTCTCTTAAAGATTGTAAGAGAATGGCTTGAAATCAGAAGGACTAGTTAAGGGGCTATTGCTGAAGTCCAGATGGAACATAAGAGACTGAATTAAAGAAGATGGAAAGGATGGGGATAAACACAAGAATTATTTATGTAACAGAATCAGTAAAACATAGTGACTGGAATTTCGGGATTGAACACATGAGTCTGAAACTCAGTAGAGAGGTTAGGCAAATAATCTAGATTTGGAAGTCAAATACATACAGGTTATAGGCGAAGCTTTGGATTTTTAAGTTACTTAGGGTAAGAGATTGGGAGGGGGATTTGTTTATTCAATGGATAGTAACCAAGTTCTTATCCTAGACATTGTACCAAGCACCCTGCCTAGAAGAACATTATGATCTAGTGAGAGAGATGAAAAATGCAATATTATGTGTGTTAAAATAGACTAAGTAAAACAATTGCATCAAAAACAATAAAGTACCTAGGAATAAATTTAACCAAGGAGGTAAAAGACTTGTACTCGGAAAATTATGTCGTTGAAGAAAGAAATTGAAGAAGATACAAATAAATGGAAACATACACTGCTCATAGATAGGAAGAATTGACATTGTTAAAATGTCCATATTACCCAAAGCAATCTATAGATTCAATGAAATACCTATTAAAATACCAATGGCATTTTTCACAGAACTAGAATAATCCAAAAATGTATATGGAACCATAAAAGACCTTGAATAGCCACGGCAGTCTTGAGAAAGAAGAACAAAGTTGGAAGTACCACACTGCCTGATATCAAACTACAGGGTTTAGTAATCAGAACAGCATGGTACGGCACAAAAACGGAAACATAGATCAAAGGAACATAATAGCCCAGAAATAAATTCACGCTTATGTGTTCAGATTAAGTATGAGAAAAGGGGCAAAAATATACAATGAGGTAAAAACAGTAAACTATTCAATAAATGGTGTTTGGAAAACTGGACAAATACGTGCAAAAAAGTGGAACTGGACCACCTTCTTATACCATGTAGAAGAATAAACTCAAAGACTTAATTGTAAGACCCCCCTAGAAGAAAACATAAGCAATAAACTCTGACATTGCTCTTAGAAATATTTTTTTCTCATATATCTTCTCAGGCAGAGAAAACAAAAGAAAAAATAAACTAATGGGAAACCATCAACAAAACAAAACCTACTGAATGGGAGAAGATACTTGCCTATAATATATCTGATAAGGAGTTAATATCCAAAATTTACAAAAAAAGTCATACAACTCAAACCTAAAAAAACAATCCAAATAAAAAATGAGCAGAGGACCTAAATAGGCATTTCTCCAGAGGACATACATACAAAATGATGCTCAATATCACTAATCAACAAGAAATGCAAATTAAACCACAGTGAGATATCACCTCACCTGTCAGATTGGCTATCATCAGTAAATCAGAAAACAAGTATTGGTAAAGATGTGGAGAAAAGGGAACCCTTGTGCACTGTTAGTGGGATTGCAAATTGGTAGAGCCACTATGGAACACAGCTTGGCAGTCCTTCCAAAAAGTTAAAAATAGAACTACCTTATGACCCAGCAGTTGCACTTTGGTTATTTATCCAAAGAAAATCACAACACGAATTTGAAAAGATATATGCACCACTATGTTCACTGCAGCACGATTTATAGTAGCCAAGATATGGAAGCAACTTAAGTGTCAAGAGAAAATCGGATAGAGGTGGTACATATATACAATGGAATGTTACTCATTAAAAAAAAAAAAAATGAAATCTTACTATTTGCAATGACACGAATGGACCTAGAGAGTATTATGCTAACTGAAATAAGTCAGAGAAAGACAAATATATGATTTCACTAATATGTGGAATCTAAAGAATAAAATAAACAAAACAAAAACAGACTCATAGATACAGAGGACAAACTGGTGATTGCCAGATGGAAGTGGGGTTGCGGGGCTAGGTGAAAAAGCTGAAGGGATTAAGAAGTACAAATTGGTAATTACAAAATAGTTTCGGGGATGTGAAGTACAGCATAGGGAATATTGTAATATAACAATATTATTGTAAATAATATTATAATAACCACATATAGTGCTGGATGGGTACTAGACTATGGGGATCACTTCATATATAAATGTTTAACCATTATGCTATACACCCGAAAATAATGTAAAATAATATTACATATTATTGAAAAATTTAAAAAATACAAATAAGATAGATTAAGTACAGAGTGCTATGGAAGTATCGAAGAAGAGAGCCTGACTCTTTTGGGGGAGAATGTAGTGGATGAAAGAGATCAGGAAGGGGTCAGGAAGGGGTCAGGAAGGACCAGAATGATGATAATGATACCGGGTAGCCAGACTGGATGGCATGAAAGGAACACCAGAAATTAGCTGAGAAAAATGAATTGAGGTCTTTAAAAGGTAGAAGAATATGATTAGGAGCAAGAGAATCACTATACTTTGTACTAATAGTACAAAGTTATAGTCAGAGAGTGAGTTAATGGAGTTTAAGATTTTAGAGGTTAAATGGTTCACAGTAATGTCAGAGTCTGCAGGGCCCTTGGAAATAGTTTGCCGAAGTGGAGTGAAGGTCATTAGAATTAAGACGGTCAAGCAGAGCTGTTATGTTGGGTGACTTGAAAACGTTGTATTGGCTAAACTTAAGGAAATAACAGCATCATATTTTCAAGCAAACAAGTTAACCTAACAGGCTTGTGGCTGCTGGCAGAAGATATGAGACTCCTGGGTCAAAAGCAAAGGACTTTATTACTCATTGCACAGCAAGCAACATGAGGTTCTTGTCTGCATCAATTCCCCTTGTTCCCTAAGGCCCTCAAAGTTAACACAGAGGGGCCTATGTGGATGCTGTACGTTTTGGTACATAACTTGTGCCATAGCTAAAGAACCCCGAGGTTAGGAAATGCAGATCTCTTAAAATGGGCAGTAAGGAGACCTGCCTGACCTTGGATCCAGAAGTAGACATTTCTTTATTATACTGTACAGTAAGCAGGCCTGCCATCTGCTCTAGAAGGAGACACTGTTACTGTCTTCCAAGATTGCTTGGTATACAGATGTCCTAGCAACGATAGTCTGGAACAAAGGTAGTCAATGCCTCTGCTTGTAAAACTTTCAGATAATGGAGAGGCCTGTGAAGAATTGTCTCCCAGTAGCACCTCTCAGTCATTTTGACAACAAAATATCCCCCATACATTTCCAAATGCTTCCCAATTGAGAACCACTAGGTGAGATGGCATAAACTTAAAAGAAAGTATTTTTACATTAAGATGGGTAGCAGAAAAAAGATGAGCACCCCAGTTACCCCGTAGTAAAAAGAATGTTACCTGTACTTTCAAGTATGTGTGGAGGTTATCTTCCTGTCCAAGGTTTTAGTTAAGGCACACAAGTAGAATATGTGTTCAGGGAAAATTTTTGAGAGGAGGTGAATTTATTAAAAGTGGAATATCCCTGCTCAGATTCCTTTGCATGCAGGGACACAGTGGAAAGGAAAGGAAGAAAAGCAGTAGGGCGAAGACTTGGAGGAAAGAAATGCAGGATGGTAGTAACCTACTACCCTGTGTATGTGTGAAACTAGGAACCCAGGTAAAGTCTTACCACTATTCCACTTTACTTTGCAAGACTGTTCAGCTTTTTAAAAATTGTATACACCAAATGACGATAAATTGGTGATGTTTCTCCAACATAGTTTTCACATTTAAAAATCTAGTCCATGACAGAAGTTACCTGGAGCACCCTTTGCAACCATTTTAAACTAAGAACATATCCAATTATAGTATTTATAGCTAATTTTCCATTATAGTTTTGCCAGTCATCCCACAAAACATTGTAATACCTGCTGTTTTCACTTGTTCCATTTAATCACTGATTTCTATTGTTATCCATGTAGGTAAAGGTAGCAACACACAATCAGCATGTCAGCTTTCTGCCACGTGTGTAACAAAAACTATTTACAATGCATAATGTCCCACAAGTTGCTTTTACTTTTAAAACAAGATTTTTAGAAATAGTACTATTTCATTCATCTATATCTACATGGTCCAACATGGTAGCCACTAGCAGGTGTCACTATTTAAATTTGAGTTAATTAAAATTAAATAAAATTAAAACTACAGTTTTAATTTTCTCAGTCACACCAGCCATATTTCTAGGCTAGTGGCTACCACATTGGCCAGGGCAGGTATAGAAAACTGCTGACCTAGTTCCTTAGCTGGAATCTATCTGTCCGAAGATGGACTAGAAGAGTCTCACTTAATTTAAACAATATGGTATCATAGGACATTTCTGTTTTCCATTTTAATTAGTATTTTAAATAGAAGATATTAGACCTAAACCATTATAATATCTATACCTTATCTCTGGTTTTGGCCATGCTGCCTGTCTGAGAAACAGCCATGTGTAGTTGATACTTTGTTGTTTTTGCTTTAATACCATAAACAAAACTGGTACAGTCCTCAATCTATGCCGTAGAAAGGTAAAAACTATAATAAAAATTACTAAAGAATTTCTTCAGCTACAAATGTTTATTCATGTAACTACCTTACTAAGATATAAGATCCACAAACACAGAGATATTTGTCTGTCATATTCTCTGCTGTGGTGAATTCTCACCACCTAAAGCAAATGAAGGACCACAATAATTAATGAGTAAATGAATGGGCCGAAGGGAGGATGGTAGGCATAGAGTAGGGCAAGAAGAGAAGGATCAGTTTTCAGCATAATTTTTGTAAGTTTTTCACATTAATAAATTTTTTATGTTTTTGTTTTTATTAAGGACTTCTTTATTCAAGATATTAATGCAGGCTTAACAGATGAAACAGAAGTACCTGAACAATTAGTAAGTACTTGACTTAATATTTTAAAAAGTATTTATAAGTTATCTCCATATTGTGAATAAGCTGTGTTCCAATTTTTGTTTGGAATAAATTAATTGTGTTGAATTTAGAATTCATTTTTATGTAGAATTGATATTCTTAGTGATGGTTAGTTCCCAGACCAGCTCATGTCCCATCTTTGTATATAGGTTCCAATTTCTTCTCTCTCTGAAGAGCAGTTGGAAAATTTAATCAAGAAATTGAGAAAAGCAAGCGAAGGTAAGTCTACCTGGAGTTGCAAGTTCAAGTTTTTAAGAACAATGAGGCGATATATGAATTGATACCAGTGTGGTTTAAAAGATGTTTGCTGCCATTGTTCAGAGCCCTGCGGTTTCTTGTTTGGTTGCTTAATCTGTTGTGTTTATGTTTGGCACAGGTCTGAGCTCTACACTTAAAGATCAAATTATGTCCCATCCAGCATTGCACGACGCCCTTAATGACCCTAAAAATGGTGATTCTGCAACCAAACACCTGAAACAGCAGGTACGTTTAGGCCATAGTAACACTGCTAAAAATGTTTTTTTTTTGTTGTTCATTTGTGAAAAGCTAAGGTTCTATTCTTTATAAATATAGTTACTAATGAGATTTTGTTTAGTTTACTTTTCAGGGTACAGAATCTTTCCATTTCAAAAAATGTGCATAAACATATAAAAAAATTTTGCCATAGATATGGTTCTGAGTACTGTGTGTTAGGTATATTAAAGCAAGAGAAAAAATTTAAAGCCAAACAAATTATCAATGTGAACATGCTGCCTTATATAGAAATTACCTTGCTATTTTCCCATTTGAGCCAAATGTGTTTGCTCTCGTTTATAAAATAATCTCGTGAAGTTTGCAGGCTTCTATTTTAGGTAACATTGAAAAATTAAAGTTACTTGGTCCAAGAAGATGCTTTGTTGAGTTTGGAGCAGGAAAGGGAAAATTATCTCATTGGGTTGATATTGCCTTAAAAGATGCTGAAAAAGTTCACTTCATCCTAGTAGAAAAGGTGACCACAAGATTCAAGGTAAGTGAAACCAGTATATTGGTAATCAAACTTTGTTTGCACTTTTCTTGTTAAAAAAAAAAAAAGAAAGAAAAGAAAATGATACTCAGAAACATGTCTGTTAAAGAAAATGAATTTTTTGTTTATTTGATTATAGTTTTTTATTCTAATTACATTGGCTTAAACTGAAGGTAGTTTTTAATCCAACTTTTGACAGTCCCTTGATCTGAGTTCTTAAAATTATTCGCAGAGACAAGAAAATATGTGGAAAGAGCCAAGCTCAAGCTAGGAATTAAAAGTCTTGGGTCCTAATCCTACCTCTGCCACTTACTAACTCTTCATTCAGTAAACATTTCTTGATTATACTGCCAGGCACCATGATAGACATTGGGTAGGTAAAGTCAAATAAGACAAAGTCCCTGTCTTCTATTACTTATATATAGAAAGAGGAGACAGACAAATCAATAAAAGATTATAGGAAGTGTTGCACTATGAAAAACGTCTGCAGAGTTTAGTGTTGGTTCAAAGAGACAAGTTTCACTGCAGGGAAAGGATGGTGATTGACTGCACAGAAAAAGTGATGCTTTAGCTATATATTGAAAGGTGAGTTAGCGTTTGCTAGATAGAGGGTTTGAGAAGCATGCTAGGATGCAAGGATAGTGTAACCAAATGCCGGAAACAGCAAAGAGACATGGAAACATTGCTGCGTGATGGGAGGACGTGGTGCGAAGCAGAGTTCAGCAATGATGAGAGGAAAGGAGGGCTACATTATGGAAGGTCTCATTTGTGCTGTGGAAGGAGTATGACTTTATCCTGCTATGTTGTGAGGATATAATGGGCACAAGATTTAGTTCCTATCTTCAAGAAGCTTACTCTAGCGGGGCAGCATTCTAACTATTTTAAGGCAGTACACTAAGTGGCTTATAATAATGGTAAGTACCAGATGCTTTAGGAGCATGAAAATGGGATACCAGCCTCGATCTAATGTGGGTCACGGAAGGTTTCCTAGAGGAAGTGACAGTTGAGAAGAGACTAAAAGAATTTATGAATTGGTGAAGTAAATAAAAAGAGTTTTTAAAAGTTCATGCTAGCAGTACTATTAAAGCTATATTAAAGAGCCTAAAACTTGAAGTAGGAAGATTAATTATAAGATTATTATTATCTAATTATCCAAGTAAGAAATAGATCAGAGCTAAAGTGTGCCAGTGGGATGGAGAGGAGGGGGAGAATGTGAGAAATGCTAAGATGTTGGAAGCTGCAAGATTTGGTCATTTATGATTTATAAAGTATGAGAGAGAAGGAGTTATTTCGGGTGACATATGTCACCCGAAAGGGAATATAGGAAGAGGGAAAATAGATTTGGAGGGAGAAAGAATGAGTTCGGTTCTGAATGAGTCTGCTGTTGAGGTTGAGCTTTCTAGTTCACAATTGAATATGTGTCTGATGCTCATCAGAGAGGTCTGGGCCACAGTGTAGATTTGTTAATCATAGGCATGTGGATATAGATTAGAATGGCTGTGATTTTTCGGAGAGAATATGAAGAGCGAGCCAAAAATGGTATGTTAGGGGGCTGACAGAGATAAAGGAGCAGGCAAGTAGTGAACCTTAGTTCCTTCATCAGTGAATTGGGAATGTTTAGAGTTAAAGGAAATAATGTATACATAGTAATTTATAAAATTTTCAAGCCTTATAAAAATGTGTGATACTATTACTTGGAGTTTTTATCAAATAGACAATCTTAAATTTTTTTATGAATGATCCTCTTTTTAAACATTAAAAAGTAAAATGGAAACATTCTGAATTTTGAAAACAAATAGAAGTTTTTCATAAAACTTTTTTTTAACATAAAAAGCCATTGTTATAATAATATTCTGTTTATGCAGGTAGATGGCAAACACAGAAAGAAAAATTCAGTGTTTGAAAGACTTCAAATTGATATTCAGCACCTGTGTTTGAGTAAGTTGCATAACTTTCAGTTGCTGTACCATAAATCATAGAAGTTTCAAACTCTGAGGGTTGTTTAGAAATTCAGTCATACAGAACAATGCTTCAGGGAAAACAAAGTAAATCAATGTATTGCTAATATAGAATGTTATATATTATGTGTGTATATTGAAAAGTGAATTAGCGTTTGATAGATAGGGTTTGAGAAGTTAGCTGTATATTTAGATGTAAATTCAATTAAGGTTGAAACTTTACGAAGTTGTCTTTCAGTATCAATTAGAAATGAAGTGTCGTACTAGGGAATAGTTTAAAATTTTTGATAGCATGTCCTCGTGTTGCCTCATTGTCGTGTTTAAATGAATTACTGAGTCTTTTCATACCATACACTAACCTTTGCCTATAGTTAACATAACTTTACTCAAAACATTAAAGAAATGTGATAATTCTCTGTTTAGCTAAGGTGTAAACTATGCTTCGTAGAAATTTAAATTGTACAAGACAAAATACTAACATCGCTATGGGACTCGTACACACACACACCTTTAATCGTACTCTGTAGTGTCCTTTCTATATCTTTTTATAGTTTTTCATATTATTTAAAATGAAAATAATACAAAAATATCCCAGCAATCTCTTTCATCCACTAATTTTAATGCAGGCTCATAAAGCAACCTAGTATTTATATATAAATGACTATTTAAAATTATTCAACTAAATATATTACTTTTCTGAAGTTGTAAACCCTAAACAAATTTTTATGCCATGAATTGAATTCTTATTAAATGAAAAATGGCCTACCATATTTCTTAAATAGTTCCTATGACTCTTCTATGCCTACCATGTGCCCCCATCCCATATTTTTAAAATAAAATAAGAGAAACGAATAGAGATTAATGAAGAGAGATTAATAATTGGGCAAATATTTATAGTCTAGTTTAATACTGACCTTAGAATTTGCGTTAATTTTGGAAAATCTCTCTCTCGTGTGCTAAGCAGTGACCTACCCAAGATGAGAGCCACAAATCAAAGTTTTGATTGTAATCTCCTGATTTCTGTACTTCAGAGTGTTGGTTTTTTTTTTTTTTTGATGTTTAAAATAAAAGACATTTAATGACATACAGAGTGATTAAAGGTAGTTTTCGAAATGAGTACGAGGTGGCATTTACTTAGAGGACTTCTCTTCCTTTCTGCAGGGTTGGAATTTACTATTAATCATTTTAGGGGAAGAGAAAGAATAGGAAATATTGAACGAGTTTACTGTGAACATTTTCTCCTTTTTTCTTTCTGTTTTTTGTTCTTTTTTCGGGGGCGGGGGTGAGGGGCTTTTATTAAAGTTGCATATGTGTGGTTAAGAGTCAGATAGTTCTACAAGTTGTTATAAAAACAGCAGCAGCTTGTTCCTTCCTTGCCATTTCTCTCTTCAGAGACAACCACATACACCTCTTGTAGGTGAATTTTTGTACTTACGTAGTCTCTAACTACAGGCTTATATATTTTGCTTCTTGTTTTTTCAAACATTGTCTATTGATTTTTCCCTATGGGAGATAGGATTTTCTTCCCTTGCTCCACCTCAAATGTGTACACTTCCCATTCCTCATCTTCCTGATATGCATTAAATGCTTAAGTGCTTTTTCACAGCTGAGCCATGTAGTAAATTAAGTTACCTTTTTTCTGTACTATTTTTATTGTTTGTAGAGTTAATAATTAATTTATAATTTTGTTTACTTAGTCTTTTAAAAATGTATTTGGCATAATACATACATCAAGTGTTCTCTCAGTTTCCATTTTCCTGAAAAAGTCTCTCCTGGATCCTTCAGACCTGTTCCAATCCAAACTGGGTGCTCTCTGTTCTTGGGGCACAGTTGTCAAACTTAAAACCCTCTTTAGTCTCACCCTGGGGATTCCCTTCATTCTCAGAGGTTGGAACTTCTTTTTCCACATATTATCTTATACATTCTGTCTCCTTTTCTTTCAGAATTTGTGAGTTTATGCCTTTAAAAAAATCCCTTTATTTTTATTTCGATAGAGTTTTAGGAGGTAGCAAACTAGATGCTTGTATTTGATCTGCCATCTTTTCCCAGAAGTTCATCTGCTCTGTTTCCTAAGCCCAGAGAAATGGGGGAGAAAGGGAATGAGGCAATTTTCAAGCATAAAAGCAGAAGAGCTTTCTCAGACATCCTTTCTACTCACCCTAATTGATGATCAGTTTCCTGAAACACCTAATTCAAACCTCTGTATTCCCTGGCATGGGCCAACTATTCCACTTGTTACCAATTTCTGCCATCATGGAATCCCTTCTGAATGCAGGCAACAGAAAAGTGGAAATACTTACTAAGTGCCTCCATTGGACAATTCACTGTGCTAGGTGCTGTAGCTGGCTTTTTAAAGGGGAAGCATGGTTTTTATTTCAGAATTTCACAGGAAGGAACATGAAGAAGGGGAAAAAATGGAAGCTATAACTGTGATGTAGTACATTTTACTACGTTATAGATGGTTTTCTTTTACTTTTGTAGCACTTATGAATACTTACTTTTATTCACAGTGCGAAAAGCTAAGATATCTTATTTGTGATCATAAAGTTATATTAAGAGCTCTATAGTTTGATTAGAATAATGAACATAGCATTTTATAATATATTTTAAATATATTATGTTGGTTATATTATTTATATATTATCACATCTATTATTTATGCAAAATAAATCTTCTAGTGAAGAAAGTTTTCAGTCCTTTTATCAATGGGTTAATAACATTTAGCAAAATAAGGTTTTGACAGAGGAAAGTCCTGAGCCAGTGTAGAAGAGATAGCATTGCCCTAAGGGTCAAGAAACTTCAACTCTAATTCTGACTCTGTCAGTAGCCATCTGTATTACTTATCAAGCCACTGCGTCTTTGAGCCTCTTATTCCTAAGCTACAAAGTAAGAATTGTTTAGTTTCTTCCATCCTAAAATTCAAAGATTCTAATTAGTTCTCTGTTTCGGGAGGCCACATTAAGGCCTTATCTCACATGGGAACTTAGTTCTCTTTTCCTTTTATTTCAGACAAGATTCCTGTACTAAGCAAAGAAAAACTGCCTGTGGTAGGAATTGGAAAGCATCTGTGTGGTGTGGCGACAGGTAAGTAAATTTACTAATAATGTCTAAATTAATACATGAAGTCTTAGCTGAACATGGCCTAGACCATTTACATAATCTCTTTCAAACAGTATACATCACTATGTTCACTACTCAATCTTCGTAGGAGCACTGACCCAGTGTTATATCACAGCAGCTTTCCTATTGATCTGCTCATTTGGCCATTTTGTAGGACGAATCAAGGGTTTTGTGTGTAAATGCTCTGTCATACTGGACCTTCAGGTTCTTTGGATTATATTTCAACCAAAAAGGAAATGAATCATTTATGGAAACTGTATGATTTCACCCCAGAAGCCACTGATTTTTTTAGAGGAGTTACTTGGCAGGGACTCTGAAACTTCTCCCACTGGAAGGTGATCGTGTGTCAAGATTCTAAGGGAAAGGGAAAAATAATACTAGTTAAAAAATCTAAGATATCTTGTTTTAGCACTTTGATCCACCAGATTTAGCATGGTACGGTGGAAAGAGCATGAGCTTTGAAATCAGAGAATCTGGGGTTCAACTCTGCTGTGTGACCTGGGCAACTTACTTTAACCTTTCTGAACTTGGGTTGTCTCAACTGTCAAATGGGGATGATAATAATATATAATTTACCAAAGTACATGTAAAGTGTCTGGTACATATTGGTGCTCAATAAATGTTAACTGTTGTTACATCTTCCTGGCTCCTGCTAGTTTTATTATCTACCTACATGGGGAACTTGGAGCTTCCATAAGACATTATTCAAATTGGCTGGAAATGGCTTTGAGAATTATATATTTGTGTTATCCTTCATAGTTTTTAGATGACTTTTAGTTATTTATTTCATTTAACCCTCATAAAAGCCTTCTTAAGTAAGCCAGTTCTGTCCTGGGGAGGAAAAAAGGCAAACTCTTTTACTCCTGTGTATCTAACCCAAGTTTCTTGGAAGTATAATCCATATTGGCTGTTTCTTGTGTTCCACTCATTATTCCCCCCCTTGATTCACTGTATTTGAATTTCGCCTTCATCACTTTATCATTATCTTACTGAAAAAATCTCTACTGCAGTTGCTAACCCTTCTCAAGGTTCTGTTTCCTTCTCCTTTGTGACTCTTTCTTCGTTCTACCCCCTCCATCTCTGCCATTCTTTCTCTGTGTCTTTCATGGGCTCCTTCCACTACCTGTCCTTTAATACTAATATTCAGACCTGTCTGCTATACACCTAATCTGCCTTTCCCCTTCTTAGAACTCTTCAGCAGCTCCCAATCACTGACAGCATGAATGAAGTCCAAGCTCTTTAACATGATGTCTTAGTCTCATTCTAGCCTCTACCTTTCTCTCTCCGCCACTCTCTGCCTCCGGATTTACTAGTCAGCAAATTCAAACCCTGAATGCTTTCCCATATACTATATTGTACCCACCCACCCAACAAAAAACTGGTCAGTTTGTCCTTACCCTTCGGCTCTGTTGTCACCACTTGCAGGGAACTTCCTTAAGTAAGATACTCTTCCTTCATGTGTTTCATGATATTCTCTGCAAATCTTTACTTTATTATATTTTAATTGTATATCTAATTCAACCACTATGCTGTGAATTTTTTGAGCATAGGAAATGTGCTAACATAATGATTGACATATATAAGAACTCAGTAAATGTTTGAATGATTAATCTTGGCCACCAATTTGCTATGTTTCCTTGTCTATCTAGGTATGTGGCTTTGTTTCTTAAGTTCTCTGTAAGGGAAAGGTTAAGATAGATTGCTAAAGCTCCTTCTGGTTCTAAAAGAACTTCATTCTTTTAATAATTTTTCTGGTTATTTATATTTCTGAAAATCAATCTAATGTAAATAAAACATTGACTGAATATATTTTGTCACAAAATAAGTTTATAAAATAATAGATTAACTATCGCTTTCTCCGAATAAGTTCCTAGTAAGATTTGTTGATTTAAATTCATATATTGAATTAAATTTACTAGTGAAATATCAGATTATTTAATAGTAACTTGTGATACTTAGGGTAGTAAAAATTTTAAATATATGTTTTTGATTGAACAGGCACAGCATGCCAATCTAATCGAACAGAAAAATGTGGGTTTTACAGCATATATTTGGAGTCTTATCAGTATTGTCAACAATATAGCAGTCTTCAGAGAGAAATAGTTGTAATTATCAAAAATCTATTTGCTGAGTTTTTAAATGTACTATAAAATTTTCATTTTCATATGGAGTACCTTCACCTCTAAGCTTATATCAATATAATCGTTATATCTACAAAGTCTTGCACATGAAAGACATTTAGTAACTGCTGAATGAATGTATAATACAGTGAGTATAATACAGGTGGCCGAGATTATTCATTCATTTCCGCAGTCTGATTTCTCTTGTTAACTCTTCAGCTCGTCACTATTTTCTGTGTACATCTTACCTTTCAGGACTGACACCTAACACTAACTTAAGCAGATGCTTAGCGGATGCCTTTCCTCTTTATTTCTTTCTTTGGTTTTCTTAAGATCAAAGCTGTCCTGGAATATAAGTGTTGGTAAATAAATTTTTTTCTGTACAAATCATTTCCTCAGCCAGGATAGGAGAAATAAGAGTCAATTCAAGTAGTTGGACCAAAATTTTCTGCAAACTGTTGCTCTTAAGCTTCAGATAGTTTTATTGGGAAGTAGACTTTATGGAGAAAAAATCATTAGAGAAAGATGATAATGAGAAAAGAGCAGATATGAACAAATTGATAATTCACAAAAGAATTATTACAGGTAGAAAGCTAAGTAGGTTTTTGTTGTTTTGGGTTTGGGGTTTTTAAAACCATACTGCTTAATAAATGCAAAAAAATATTTATTTTTAAAGATAATGTGGTTTGGGGGGCCACATAATTGTGTTTGCAGATCTTGCATTACGATGTTTGGTTGAAACCTATGCTGCCAGTTGTGAGGAAAGGAATGAAGAACCTTTAGCCAAACGCATAAAGAATGATAAAACAGAAAAAGAAATTAACACTTTGGCCAAAGAAGGAAATGAAAAAAGTGTCCCAGAGAAGTGGACCCCTGTGGCTGGCATTGTTATTGCACTCTGTTGTCACCACAGGTGTGATTGGAGACATTATGTGGGCAAAGAATATTTTAAGGCTTTAGGCCTTGGAGCTGTGGAATTCCACTATTTCCAGCGAATGAGTAGTTGGGCGACTTGTGGTATGCGGAAAACATCTTTGGACGCCTCAAATATTACCACAAAGAGAAAAGATCATCAGAATGATGATGGCGAAGAGCATGATGATGGGGGATACAGAATTACAGATGACAGCGTTGAGAGTCTGCCTGGGTAAGTGACTACTTTGAAATGCACATCGCTGCAGCAGAAATATTTTACTATTGCTGTACTTTCTTTTTGATGAATATTCCCAAAAACATATTCATGAAAATGTGTTTAACTATCTTATTGTGTATCTTAGAAGCATGGGACATAGCATGTAGTGTATTGTGGGTTATCTAGCAGCTTAGTCCCTTCTATTAACAAATAGAAGAGACTAAAATAATTTTTTATAAACTTTTACAAACTTTTAACAATGTTTTATGTGTGTTTATTCAATTTAGGTTTCTGACTGTTGAAGAAAAGAAGAAAATAGGGCATCTTTGTAAATTGCTGATTGACCAAGGCCGAATTGAGTATTTACAGCAGAAGAGATTCAGTCCTGCTCTGCAGTACTATACAGATCCTCTGGTGTCTTTAGAAAATGTCTTGTTAACTGCTTTACCAAATCATTCTTCATCACCAGAAACAACTACTTAATGGAAAAGAAATTTTGAACATCATCTGTCTTCCACCAAAAAAATAATTTTTAAATTGTATTTTTATATTCATGAAAATAGAATTTAATAGCAGATAATATGAACTTTAAAAAATGTTGGGGCTTCATTGAACTTTGGTAATAGCTTTGTTTTTTACTTGAGAAGTCCAAACATTAGAGAATTCACCAAATTCCAAAGTAATCTTCAGCAGGGCATCTGGAGTTATATTATCCATCAGTGTTTATAGAGATTGGCGAAGTAGTGGAACAGTTGACTTGATTATCTGAAACACACATAACATGTCACCATATAACTAGCACATTAACTTTCTACTTGCATTAATTTTAGAAATTTATTTTCCTTTGGCTTTACTTAATACTTTTTATTTCTCAAGTTCAAGATGTAATGATCAATTATCAGTTTCTAACAAGGGCTAATTTGAGAATTTGGCTTATGTGTGGATTTTTTTTCCATGCAGATCTGGAAAGGATAATCGATTACGATTTTTTTCATGCAAATGCAGAGATGTTCACAATTAATGAATTCACCTTCAGATTTTCAGAATCATACCTGTATCTATATATTATCAGAATTTTCCATGACAGACACCAAAACTAAAGAGATGTTTTCCAGGAAAAGAAAACTATTTCATTTTAGCAGATAATTATCTAGTTAAAACTTCCAAAAAGATGCTTAAAAGCCTAATTCACAAATTAAATTAAAATGTACAAATAACTTTTGAAGTTAATTAGGTATCTCATATCTTTTAACAGAACATTTTTACATGTGTAAGTACGAATATAAATATATTCTCTCCTTTCTGGGAAAATAATTTGGAATAAAGTGGAAACTAGATAGTGAAACCAAAATCCTTCTTACATTTATGCCTCATTTAACTCATTTCTATGCACAAGCAAATGTTAAACCAAACATGGCAGTAGGACTGTTATTCTTTTCCACATCTTATCCTTGATTTATTCTGCTTTTATAAAAATTGTGTTAACCTCACTGGTACATTTGCCAAAATAATATCTTGTAGATCAATGACTATATGAATTATGAATTAGAAGCCTAGCCTATTTTTAATTACTGACCTTTCTATTTTAGTTTAATCTCATAAGTTTTGTGAGACCGCCTAGGTTCAAATCCCAACTCTGCCACCTCTCAGCTGTATGACCTTGGGCATACTTAATCTTTCTTTGTGCCTCAATTTCCTCATCTTAAAATGAGGACGATGATAATAATAATACCTCACAAGGTTGTTGTAAACATTAAAGAGATAACAAATGTAAAAGTCTTAGAACAGTTCCTAGCACAGAGTGAGTCCTCAATAAATGCCAACTATTATTAATAGTACTAATTCATGAATCTGTTTTTAATAAACAATAAGCAGACTTGGTTTTATTATCTCTGTTTAAGTTGTAACCTTTTTACTCTTGTTATGTTTTATGTCAAATATTATTCAAGTAAGGTAGTTTGATTATATTTTAAGTTAGTTACATCCCCCAATCAAGAAAACATAAATGAAGATAATACATTATTCAGTGATTAACATGATTTACTGGGTCAGACAATGCCAATTTGCATTATACAGTCTGTTTTGTATTATTCAATAATTTGTGCCCAGAAATAAAAGATATTCTACATTATAAAAAATAATCTCAGTTATGTTTCATCAAACATACACACACACACACACACACACACACGAGAATTATAGTGAAACAGTCTTGTGGCCCATTTAACTTAATATGTTTCTGACAGTGGTACCAAGTCCTTTATGGAAAGTAAAGCTTGTCCATCAATATGCCAGCCATAGGTCAAGATTATTGTTTTCCCCAACCTTCTTTACTTCCATTAACATATCCCAAGAAAGTGATATGTGGGATATATACATAGCCCTCCCTTGACCTATAGAATTTGCAGGTTGAGCAACCCCCTTGAGCTTTAAATTTATCTACCCAACTTCTTCTGTATGCCTGCAGGTACATCAAATTTACTATGTTAAAACTGAAGCTCAACTTACACTCTACTACCTTATCCTGCCCACCAAACGAGCTTCTATACTTCATTTCCCCATCTCAGCATCACCATCCATCCAGCTGCTTGAACCAAAAACATTCTCATCTTCATGCAATTATCAATTCTGTCATCTACTTGTTTTTCATATATTTGTCCTCCACTTTCCAAAACTAGGCCCCAAACTATTACAACTCTTGTCTTCCTCTAATCCATCCTCCATGTCATTGCTTTTATGACCTTGCTACAACAGACTGAATCATTTTCTGAACATCTTTCTTTCGGTGTTGAAAAAAACTATTTTCTATAGCTGAAACACTCTGGAATAGTTTGCTCAGATTACACTCATTCTTTGAAACAAATATTTTAAGATTTAACTAAAATCTAGCTTTTAACTCAAAAATTCTTGATGTTTTAGTGAATTATAAAATCATCATTTCTAATAGTATACTATTTCATTTTTTTTTTTTTTTAATAAAGAGTTGTATTCCTTGTCTTCTTCCCCTAATCTTGGTTTAAGTTTAAGGCTTTCCTTCCTCAGTTTGAAAAATAAAGTGGTCTAATTCTAAATTATCAGAGGCTAAGTGATGGAAATCTATATTTTAACTATTGGTTAAAATCCATGTTCTCTTAATATTTTTCATTCCTAGGCAAAATGTTTTTTGCTATTTATGGATTGTAGAAAAAGAAGAAATGGCAGCGAAGGTAACATTCCTGAGAATAAACTGACATACATAACAAAGTGCTAGAACGAGGTAGGGAAGTTTTAAGAATTATATCTTCATTTGGTTGTGTTTGAAATGCTTGACCAAAGAAATTCATTTCCTCACTCCACTTGAAAGACTTTCAATATCTATCCAGCCTTTTTCTCTAAGCCTTTATCAAAATTGCGAACCAATTTGAATTTCACTTTTCTTCCTCCCATGATATTGACCAGGAGACCAGAATTTGACCAAAAAGGTAAGATAGAATGAGAAATCTATAAAGGAATTAATCTGTATAAATATTCCCCTACCAAAAAGAATATTTAACCTGGATAATATACAAATCTCATACCTGCTCTACTCCGTGACTCCTGTATGTATGTGTGCATGAACTGAAGACCAAATAATTCCTCTTCCTCTTCCTCTATGCCTTCACTGGGAGAAAGTGTTACTTCCAATTTCAGTGGGTTGTCTCTGAAGTTGACAAACCTAGCAGTTCACCAAAAAACAGTATTTTTATAGGTGCCATAAAAGTGTACGTTTATTTTTCTGGAGAAATACCAAATGATAATATACTAAATTACTCTTTTTTTAACTGGTTTCTTGTAAGTGAAGATCTTAGGGAGATGTGATATATCCTAAGAATCTTGAAATTTCTTTCATAGAAGAAAAAGATTAGCTTTCAACAACTTATTTTTGGTGCAGCTTAACTTCCAAGAGCAATTCTAATGCATCTGAAATATACAGATGCTCCTTGATTTAACAATGGGGTCCCGATAAACCCACCGTAACTTGAAAATATCATTAAGTCAAAAATGCACCTGATAAACCTAACCTCCTGAATATCATAGCTTAGCCTGGCATTCCTTAAACATGTTCACAACACTTAAATTAGCCTACAGTTGGACGAAGCCATCTAACACAAAGCCTACTTTATTAGAAAGGGTTGAATATCTTGTAATTTATTATGTGTATCACATCCGCACCATCAGAAAGCCAAAAAAATCATAACTTGTAAGTTCGAGGACTGTACAATTAATGCAATGAACTTAAAGTTTTTACGCATTTTTAGACATGTCTTTTTATCATTGTATCTTCATCTGGTACAAGGCTTAATTGTTGCTGAATAAGTGAATGAATGAATGATATTGTTATGGAAGTTGTGAGATTTGGTATCTTCGCTGTCAGGAAGTTAGATTTTGGAAGGAAGACACTGAGGGAGTTTGATAGTAATCAACTTAATAAGTTATATTTATAACATAATTGCCTATATCTATTTGAGTTATTTAGAAGGCAAATAATCACGATTTTTATGTTTTGGGTTTTTATATTACAGATAAGTTTTGTTAGCAGTTACAGAGATGATTTTCATGAAAATATTACCAACAGAGGGTGTTCCTTGAAGCTAATAAATACCAGCACTGCTTGGGTTTTATAGACTTTTCTTAAATAATTTAGACCAGTATTATAGGAATTCTATTTATAAATGCAGAATTTTAAAGTTGGAAGATTTTTAAGTGCATTTATTCATATGAATAAGAACTCAAATCTATTCAGAGTGAGTAATTTCTCAGTGTTACTTTGTTCTGCAGCAAGAAAAGAACATGTCAATTATGTTGAAAAATTTTTTACCTCAGATTGGTCATCTCTTCCATGCACAGTGGAATATCTTGCAGTTTATTGTTAGAGAGAACAAGAGTACCCAGATTTTTCATATTGCTGATAGTTTCTGGCAAGCATGTTATTTCATTTCGTTGCAGCCATAATGTATGTAGATTTTGCATTCTGAAGAATTAAAAGAGGCTTCTGCAATTAACCACACATAGTAGGAAAACCCTGGTTCTTATTAACTTAAAAATCAGAGAAATGTCATCTTTTTTAACATCTCCATTAACCAGTATACTTATTGGATTAACCGACTTCACATTACTTGATTATTAGGGAAACTGCATGGGGGAGTTAATTTCTACAGTATAGCCCTCATCCTGTGGAGGTACAAATAAAATCATTGTATTCCAAAATTCTTCACTATTCTCATAGAATTTCTTAAAGAAGAACTGCTGTAAATGTTATCTAATCCAAATTAGAGTTTTAAAAATCATAAATTATTAATATGCCTATTGAGGGCAAGACAAGTTTGCATAATTGTTAACAACCAAGACTCTGGAGCCAGGCTGTCTAGGTTGAAATCCTAGCTTGCACACTTAGTAACTGATCTTGAGCAATTTAGTTAACATCTCTGTGTTTCCTCCTCTGTTTGTAAAGCACCCAGAAGTGTCTGGCATGTACTATGCAATGTTCTGATTGTTGTGGCATGTTCTTGTCAATTTGTTGAAATCAGATAGCCAGTTTTTCTCTCCATGTAACTCTTTACTTATTTAGAATAAATGCAAACATTCTGTTAAATAGTAGCGTATTTAGAACTAAATTTATCTATTGTGATTGATTCTGCTTAGGGTCCCCTTTGCCTTGTTATTTCTTACTACTCATAGATAGCTTCAGCACATCTGTTGGTAGCATAAAAAGTTATTTATTTTACCTTTCTATGGTATCAGGAAGTTGTTCTAGTCTGTTGCTTCCCAAGTCAAGCCACTCAAGGGCAGGCATGTTCAACACAGCAGAAGGGATTGTGGTGAAGTGGTTCATACTCAAATCAAGGTGAGTAAGCTTTATCAAACTGCCGAGCTAAAAAGGAAAGCAAGGTTTTCAAAGTAAAGATCTGCAGTGTAACATACTGGAACACTCACATTGGTAAAAGGAAATATTTCACATCAAGGAATGTTCAATTATGCTTGGACTTTATTTAGTCATAGTAGTCCACAACATTTTTATATTTTTTATATTTGAAATAAAAATAAACCTAAGTAACCTCCAGTTAAAGCTCTCCTAGAAATTTTGTCTATTCAAAGAGAATGTATCTTCCCAAATAACGAAGTTACAGGATTTATAGAACCTGCCTGGCAGTGTTTGTTTCGTTTTATTTTGTTTTTGCTTTCTTTTTATCTAGTAATTGAGACTTACATGGGAAAACCCAAACTTTAAAATAACAGTTATCTTTATTGAACCCCATTCTTTGTGCCTGATGCTTTCCATACATTAGCTCAGTCATAAAATTTACTGTTTGGTAATTCTGTTTTTAAATGAAAACATCAAAAATTTATTACAAATAACATAACACCAGTGTGCTCAGTTTAAGAAGGATTTTTTTACATGACCATACCTCTACGTACTCCTCCCTTCTTCCTCTCCAGAGAAAACTCCTATCCTGGATTTGGTTTCTGTCCTTCCCATGCATGTTTTTAATGCTTTTATTACCATACATAATTATATGTTTTCTTTCTATTTATATACATATTATTATATATGTTTTTATAAACAATTTAGTATTTTTTATGTTTTTAAATTTTTAAGGGTTATGAGAGCATACTTATCTTTAACTTGCTTCTTTCAATATCAATTTTTAAAATGCATTCATTCTTATAGTTTATTCATTCTAAAATATCCCTGTAATTATCTTTTTTCCCAACTGCCAGTTGGAGAAAGCTGTGAGTATATGAAACATCCACCATTGTACCTTAAATTAATGGATAATTCTGACATCAGCTTTACCAGATGGGTGAGTACCTGATTTCTGTTTTATGGACCGAATGGCTTAGATAGGCCATGTGACTAGAAAAGATAAAGCTATGATGTGCACTCAATGATACATGGACATAAGATTCAAGTAGTGAAAGATTCACGATGTGAGAATTCAGTTAACTTTTATTTAAAAAACAAAAACAAAAAAAAAAAAACCTCCATTTAATTCTATATTCTATCTCTATCAGATTCCACAACTTTAACACCACAGAAAAATACATAAATAGTGTTTTGTGTGTAATGTAAAAAAGCAGGAGGGTATTGTTTTCTAAGTAATGTTTCTCCAGCTTTAGAACTCGAGCCACGAATAAAACTGATTCAAAATCTGTCATCAGACTTTAAAATTTTTAAATGGCTCAGAATAGAGAATAAAAAATTGTTTTTACATTAGCATAATGTTTGTGTGTATACAGTATGTGCAACTTAATGGCTGAGATAAGCTCGCATTGCTGATTCTCAGTGGTACTGGAACCCTTTGATTTTAGAAGATTGAAAAAATATTGAAACTATTATAATCTAACAGTCTTAATTTTGCATATGTAAAAACTGAGATCTAGTTATTAAAGCGGTATATTCAAGGCCACACAGCTACTTAGAGGCCACTTTTGTAAATAATCCCAGGCTCAATATCTCAGTTCACTATTTGTTCCAGTAAAACCTATTTCTCAGTGAAGAAATTAAGGTAAAGACATGTTAATAGACATGCCCAAATTAACAAAGCTTTTTGGTGACAGAACCAATCCTAGAAACAAAATCACAAGAATTAGAAATTAGAAATAAAATATTTATTGGCCTTGTTGCAGGTATAAAAAAAAATTGTTCCTGTAATTATTATTTTCATCATAAACAAGTATATACATTTCATTAAACTGAACTATTATTAGAGGAGATAAAGATATGGAATCTACATTTTACTTGCAGGAGCAACAATTATTGGCAACTTGCTTACTAGTTTGGGAAATAAAGTGATTTTTCACCAATATACATTGAGAGAAGGTAATAGTATTTTTATTTTATTTTGATTTTTATTATTTTTCTTAACTTTTATCTTGCAAAGTGATTGTTTTCAAGGCAAAGCACCATGAAAATTTCCTTTGCTGATTCTAAGAGGATCAAATACAAAAGCAGTAATACAAATGTCTATATCTTTATGATCAGTTTGGTTTTACCAATAACAAGACATCAATTTGAAGGTTTTCTAAGCCCGTTGCCTTGCTTTTACTTGATAGAGCCTAGGAAGCTACTTTTCTTAAAAAGGAAACTTTATAAACAAGAACGCACGTCTTATTACTTAATCTCTATCTCAAAAAGTGATCATTCTATAAAAACCAGCTAGTAAACCAAAGGGTTTTCCTATCACCACATTATCTGTGCTTTATAATAATTACTTATTCTAAAGGGGATCAAATTATGGTAGCTGAAGGAAACTGGACTTTGTGTGGTAAACACACAATAGAATATACAGATATCAAATTATAATGTACACCTGAAAGTTATATAATTGTATTAACCAATGTCACGCCCAATAAACTTAATTAAAAAATAATTATTGTTATTTATTCATCCAATAAGCATTTAAGTAACAACTACAACCTAGTCTGTGCCTTCAATTCTTGGAATAGAAATAAGTAAGACTCACTCTGGCCTTCAAGGAAATCACAGTCTAGTCAACAAAGGATGTCAGTACCGTGACAATAGTAGAAGTAGTTTTTATGCTATATAGATGCTTCCCTTGTTAAGACAATGCATTATACTCAAAATAATAGGAAATCGTTTTGCTTAAATATTTTCTAAAATAAAATATATAGCATTTCTTTATTAGTGTTATTTTTTATGATTACACAATCGAGAAGTAAACCACTAGTAGATACAAATTTAATCATAGACATTTATATTTTTCTGACCTCTTGTGGAAGATCACTTATATCTCTGTTAACAGCAAGCTCTAGTTTCTCCAAGCTGACACAGTTACTTAGTTCCTTGGGGACTGTCTTGATTTTGTTGTAACTAAGAATCAGTTCCTGAAGTCTAGTAAGCAGTCCTATAAAAAATAATACAAAAAGAGAGCAGATGGATGGAAAGTAATGTTTCCAGTTATGAAGTATTACAGCATAATTTACTTGCCAGTCTGACATTAACAAATTTATACTTCTCAGGTTCTCAACTTTTCCCAGTATGTGTCTAGCCCCTTCTTTAGATAAGGGGCAAGTTTATCAGTGCTATAGGCAAAAATACATTTTTAAAATTCTGTTATATCTATGCTATATGCTGACCACTTTTCCATTTAGGGTTTTTTTTTTTCTCGTTTAAGAAATCTAATTTTTTTTCTTGCCTTCAACTTGTTCTCTTACAGGAAGAATAACTAAACCAGCAGTGTTGTTTTTAGAATCTACACAATATTTCCAAAGAGACTTTTCTTGCATTGAAATCTCATCTTGAATCACCTCAGTAAATCCGAAAGGTGGGATCTCCCTGGAGCATCAATGTACATATTTTTACATTTTCTCAACACTCAAGGCTATATAAAGGTAAGATCTTTATTCCATGTATCAAAAATCTTAGAGACAAGCACATCTGCAAGTGGATAAAATAGCACAGGAATAAAAGCAATCTTCCTTACCTATTCCTCTAGGTATCTCTGAAATTGTGTTCCGAGATAAATCTAATATAATGAGGTTCTGGAATCTTCCAATGAATTCAGGAATTTTCAACAAACCAATTCTATGCAGTTGCCATCCCTGTAGCTGATTCAGTTTCAGCAGAGAAGAAGGAAGGGTCTAAACTCAAATAAAAAGAATGACAGAGTCACTATGTTACTTAAAGTACTTTAGTATCCTGCCACACTAAAGTATGATTATAGATGTGTTATTGGATTCATAAAAGAACTTCGTAATATTTCTTTCTTAATGGGTTATATTTCCCACCCAGTGCTTTGTGTTACTTCCAAGTTTTAAGACCTTTTTTTTTGGCTAAACCTTCAAACCCCAATCATAATAGAATGAACAAAAATAACATATTTTGCTCAATAGTGCACACACATAGAACTGTGCCCTAAAGATTCTGTTGCAATAGACATTCCTAGAGTACATATGCTATTAAAAATGAGAATATGATGCTTAATTGATATCACAGAGAAACCGAAAAATTATTTTAATCAATAATTCAATCTTTTCCCTTTCTATTTTGAAATATTTTATAACAGTTTTTTAAGAGGATTTTTTTAAATTTAAGAGTTTCAACTATTCTGAACTTGCTGCCTTTTCCTTTTCAGCCTAAAATAGCCAAAAGAGGAAATACAGGAGTCAACCTCCTAGCTAAATATATCTCTTTGCGGATTCTAGGAAAACATGATGGAGTGAGAAACGTCCTAAGATCACTCCTCTTGAAACAACAATAAGCTGAACATCTAAAACTGAGCAAAAAACACCCAAACTACACACCAGATTGTCTGAGTGTGGGATCTGTGCATAAGAGCTACCACAGGTCAGAGCCCCAGGTGTCGGGCGGTGGACTGGGACAAATAAAGAAGCTGCCTCTCACAGCCGCCGGAGCTCCCTGTAGGAGGAGGGAGGGTGAAGGTGTGGCGACTTCCCTGATCAGCCCTGTCTGGAAGTCTCGGAACTTTTCTATGCAGCTGGCAGCAGGGTTCAGTCATCAGGGCAGAAAGCAGAGAAGTGGAACAGGACAGCAGAGAACCAACAATTGATTTTTACCGGCCCTGGTTGCAAAACCGAGACTGAGCTGCAGCCCCCAAATCCCAACCTAGAGGGCCCCTACCCACATACCCTCCTAGACTGATCACCACGGAGCCCCAGAGGAATCTGAGCAAATGCTACCAAAACAGTTACTAACACTGACAGGGACTGAAACTGAGAATAGCGAGTATGATTTAAATCTACAAGAAAATAAAAAACGTTAGGCTCTATATAAAGCAGGGATCCAAGAGGCTTAGATGCCACATACTTGAAACAAAAAGAAAAGCGCCTTCTTTGCAGCAAGCTAAAGAGACACCTTTATATAATAAATCTTCTTTCTGGAAAAACAACAGAATACACTTCTATTAATGCCCAGGCCGAGAAGTAGTCCATTAAGCACCATGAACAACCAATGTGACAAGTCATCTCAGAAAGAAAGAGAAAAATCTCCAGAAAATGAGCTTACAGACATAGAAATATGTGATTTAAGTGACAGAGAATTCAGGATGGTACTTCTGAAAAAAATTCAGTGAGTTCCAGAATGAGTCATATCAACAATTTCAGAAACTAAAAAAAAACTAGATGAGCAGAGCAAGGAGATTGAAACCCTCAAAAAGAACAGAATAGAACTTCTGGAGATAAAAAAAAACAAAAACAAAAAACAACAAAAAAAAAACTTCCAGAAAGTAACCAGACTAGCCCTTATAAAGAATGATAGCAAGCTCAGGAAATAGAGTCGACCAGATGGAGGAAAGGATCAGTGATATCGAAGACAGAAATCTAGAAATAAATCAGAAGGAAGAAGAGAGAAACTGAAGTATGAAAGAGAAATACAAGAACTAGCTGATACCATCAGGAGAGGAAATAAGAATAATGGGAATTAAGGCAAAGAAAAGGAGTGGGGACTAGAAAGTATTTTCAGACAAATAGTGGACAAGAATTTCCCAAATCTATGGAATGAGCTGGAACTTGGAATTCAAGAAGTCAACAGAACACCCAATTATCTCAACCCAAAAAGGCCTTCACCAAGACACATTGTATTAAAAGTCAGAAAGATATAATTCTCAGGGCAGCCAGGGAGAAGAAAACGGTAAGTTATAAAGGAAAACCCATTAGATTATCATTGGACTTCTCAGCACAGACTTTACAAGTCAGAAAGAAATGGAATCAAATATTTAAACTATTAAGTGAAAGGAAGTACCGGCCTAGAATAATGTATCCAGCTAAGCTCTCCTTTAGATATGAAGGAGAAATTAAGACCTTTTCAGACAAACAAAAATTGAGAGAATTCTCCACTATGAGGCCTGCACTACAGGAAATTCTGAAGGGGTCAGCTCACCTAAAACAAAATAATAACAACAGAAAAAATACATGATTAGGAATAAAGTGACTATGAGGCAATAGAAGCAGAGGAGTGCACCCCTTACTAAGAACAGGTCATTATAAGCTTAAATAATAAAAAGAGAATTGCTATAGCAAGATAGTAATGAACGTTCAGCATACATAGAAACAAATTGAGACAACAATGACTGAAAAGGATAGGATTCAGAGATCCAAATTTGCAAAGGGGAAAGGAGATAAGGCACACACAGAAGAAAATGGATGACTGTATATATACATGTATATATACACATATACACTATCTTTTTCATATTTGTAATGGTAACCACACACCATAGAGTCCGAAATGAAGTATATAACATAAAACAAGAAGAATTAGAGGCAAAACCCACAATAAAGAAAACAGAAACACAAGGACAAGGAAGCAATGGAAACACTGAGCCACCAGAAAGCAAAAGATAAAATGGCTATAAGAAGACCTCATATTTCAATAATTACCCTAAATGTAAATGGACTGAACTCACCAATAAAAAGGCACAGAGTTGCAGAATGGATCAAAAAACAAAACCTGACCATATGCTGCATCCAGGAAACGCATCTCAGCTCCAAAGACAAATATAGGCTCAAAATGAAAGGAAAGAAAACGATATTTCAAGCAAATGGCAGTCAGAGAAAAGTGGAGTAGTGGTACTAATATCAGTCGAAATAGACTTCAAAATAAAAAAGGTAAAGAAAGTTAATGAGGGATACTTCATAATGATAAAGGGAATCATGCACCAAGAAGACATAACACTGATTAATATCTATGCTCCCAATCAGGGAGCCCTGAAATATGTAAAGCAATTACTAACAGAACTAAAGGGAGAAACAGACCAAAACACTATCGTAGTAGGGGACCTAAATACCCC